CCATCTTAGGTGTACGTGGCTGGCGCCTTAGCCGGTTGAGCTATAGGCGCCGAGCCAGCAGCAGCATTTTTGAGACCATACCTCCACCACCTGCGGGGAGGCCAAGGCCTGTCCTGCAAGGCTGACCCAAGACAGTTCCCCAGTAGGGATCTGTTGCCATGCTCTTAGCAGTTTCTAAGCCACTCCACCCTCCCTTCAGCCTCCTGCCACAGAAGGGCGCAATGTCAAAGGAGCAAAGTCTGGGGCTCACCTCCTCCCAGAACAAGAGCCTGCTGGCCCCAGGGGTCTGGGCCTCCCCACAGGAGTCCGGCCAGAGCACGTGACCAGCCTATGGGGGGTGGGTGAGGATTCCTGCTTCCAGGGCAAAGGCCTTACCTCTGCCACGTCACCTATGGCATAGATGTGGGGGACAGAGGTGGCATCCTGAGAGTCCACCAGGATCTTCTGACTAATGGGGCTGGTTTTCACCCCAGACTTCTCCAAATTCAAACTTTTGGTTTCTGGAACTCGACCTGGAGGAGATAAAGAGAGGGCTGACAGGTTTCCTTAGCAGTTTTGACCTAGGTACCTCTCATAACCATTCTCAGAACGTCTTCTCAGGGTTGGTCAAATGAGAGGCACGAATGGTACTGAGGAGGGTGGATGCTGATGTCTGAAATGAATGGTTACCAGGTGACACGGCCAGCACGGGGCTGTCCTCCCACTGAGGACACAATGGCTGCCCCTACTGTCTTTTGGTGTGTGTAAACGAGCAGGCACTCACCAACGCCATGCCTGGAAGCAGGGTGGGAGCACAGGCTCCAGAACCTTCTGCATGCTAAGGCCCTAGGCCCTGCCTTAGGCCACCATAGAGGCACTGATGCTGTGTTGACTTCATGGAAAGAACTAGCCTGCCATGGGCAACACTGGTGTCCAGCGCTCTGCCTGGTCTCTCTGCATCCCCTGCCCACAGTCTAGCCTAACATGATCAGGCACTAAGAGCCATCAGCTGCCAGGCCTCAGAGTCCAGCAGGGCTTCTTCCTTGTCTGGACAGGCTGATGCCAAGGGGCCACAACCCAGGCTGCATCCCAGCTGATGGAGGGGGCGACCCCACCCAGGTGGGAGATCTAAAGGTCTCTTCCTGTTAGGGGACAGTTGCCTCATGACCCCAGCACAGGAGCCAGCCAGCAGAACCAGCAGCCAAGTTCTTGGCCACCCCACACTGTGGTCCCTCAGCTGCCCAGCAAACAGCCCTAAGGGCTGAGAGAGGCGCTAGGCCAAGGGGAAGTGCCTGAGCCCAGCAGGCCTATCCCAGGGTGCAGCTAAGCCATTCCTGCTCTCAGGCACAAAGGCTAGGGGGAAGTGGGATGGCCAGTCCTGGGCCACTGCTGCTGCCTCTGCCATGCCCTGCACGGCCCAGGCTGGAGGGAGTGTGGCACACGGCCAGCAGAGTTCCCTTTTCTGGCTGGACCAGCAGGTGGCCCTAGCAGCTCTCCCACTGACTCCAGGAGGGCAGGCGCAGGCTGCTCTCAGCTCCCAGGGGTTCAGGGCAACTGCAGACAGCCAAAGTGACTTATTCAAGGCACAGGTCCACAGCTCATAGTGGCTTGGACGAGCCAGCTTCCGGCCAGGAAGCAGGTTGCGCCCACCTAAGCATGTGGAAGATGAAGCCCCTGAGAAACAGGAACCTTAAGTCTCCAGCTGCTGTCCCAGAGCAAGAAGTCAAAACATGGAGCCTCAGCTAAGCCAGGCTTCTCAAGTTCACAGGAGGGAGGCTCCAGCCTCTGTGCTCTGCTCTGCCACAGGAATCGGGTGCCAGGCAGGCTGGCACCAGCACATCAGTCTGGATATAGGTGACGTCAGGCCATGTCAGAGGGGGGAGCAAGGCCCTGTGGCAAGATGCAGGGCCAGGTCCAGCGCCTCCTGGTGACCACTCTGTGCTGGCTGGCCCTAGGAGGCCAAGAACATTTCCTCACGTTCTTTAGCTTTCCCAACAGTGAAGCTTGCAGGTGCCGCCCAAACCCTACCCCCAGGATCCAAAAGAAATAAAGACAAATTCAAGAGTAGTCACAGGGGTTAGTGACTAAGTATACAGCCTGGTGGCCTCTGCAGCCCATTTCACAGCCGAGACATTTCAAGACGTGCTGTGTGTGCAGACAGAAAGGTTCACGGAATGTGGAGGCAGCGCTGAGGGTTGGCTGGAGGGTAGGTAGGAATGGCCCTTGCAGCATGGACATCCCTGTCCTGGTCTCACAGGGGCTGCACTGCTGCTTCTGAAGTGAATGGGAAAGGAGAGAGCTGGGCAGCAGGCAGCTGGGCCCAGCCCTGGCAAGGGCAGCTGTGGGTACCAGGGCCTGGATGGTGGGGCAGGAGGCCAGTTCCACCCTTGTCTCCAAGCCATGGGGCCATGTCTCCCAGAGGTGACAGGCCTTGCCAGAAATGATGCTGGGCCCCAAGCCCCTTCGGCTTCACCCAGCAAAGGACCAGAGCAGTAGCTGTGGCAGAGACAGGGTGGCCCCTGCAGTCCTGTTCCCCGTGCTCACAGTGGGGTTAGGTCAAGTGCCCCAGGGGCTCAGTCAGGTGTTGTGGGCCCCACTCAGCTCAGCCCTGGAGCCCCAGGGAATGGAAAAGAGGTGCTGAGCCTGGCCACTGGCCACACAAGAACGGTGGCCTGGCAACGCCCAGCCCCAGCCCAGTGGGACCTAAACAGTGTGAGAAGTAAGGTCAGGCAATCTGCCCCGTGTCCCCTCCTCTTGTGTAAATATAAAGGCAGCACCACTCAGGCAATCTGGGGGGCAGGGGAGCCCCCAGCTACCCCGCACCCCCCATCACCGCCAAGCCCCCATGTTGAGCTCAGAGCTCTGCCCCAGCTTGCCCTACACCCACTCCAGGTTGTCCTTCAGGGGCTTTGCACACTCTGTGCTCCATCCCTTGGCCTCAGCTCTCAAGCACCTAGGCTGGTGTTTGCCAAGTACTGAGTGGGCCCTGCTGGGTGGGACATCTAGGGGCTCCTGAGTCTCTGGCCCCTGGATACCGCCAGGAGACCTAGAGTACTGGTCTGTCACATGTCAGCTTATGTCCTTGGGGGAGAGGCCTCAGAGGTGGCAGAGCTGACATGGGGGCTCCCCAGCCTGGGCAGGGGCTGTGCCCTGAAATGGTCCTTCCTAGACTTTGCTCCTCCCTGGGGGCGGCCCGCAGTCTCTCTCGTGCTGTTTGTTTTAATTTGCACTTTTCTGATGACTAGTAGAATTAAGTAACTTTTGGCCACATGTTTGTTAACTATGTCTGGTCTTTCGTAAATTCCAAGTCCCTGCCTGTCCTCACCCATTTATAGAGATCTCCACGCCATTCTGGCCTCATCATGGGTGCATGATGCTCCAGGGTATTTTCTACAAAGTGCGAGGGTATGAAAGCTCCAGATACAGCCCTGTGGGCCACACCCGTGAGTAGACTTGTTGCAGTGTGTGATCTGTGGGCAGAGGGAGGGGGCTGGCTCTGTGTTCGACCCTCCCATAGACCTTGCTATTGGTCTCAAGGGTACTGTGAAGGACATCGTCCCTGACCAAGCTGGCTTTCCAGAATCTGCCTGGGCTGAGGCAGCAGATGGAACAGCTCCTTGCTACCAAGGGCATCCACACAGGCAGCCTCCCTGTGGGCACCATGCTGGGACAGTTATATGCTGCCCAGGGGAGAGGCCCAGGGACACCACTACAGTCACCTCCCACAGTCCTGAGACCAAGGAGACCTGAGTGAGGCTGCCCTCGGGCTCCAGAAAGGTTATCTTCTTGCTCATCAGAGCCATGGTCAGCATGGGTGTTAGAGGTGGCCAAACTGACAGCCATCTTGAAGGCTGGACAGGCCTACCACACAGATAAGGCCAAGAGGTGCCGCTGGCCACAAGTGCGGGCTATGGCCATGACCCCAGGAGCATCCCTTCACACATGGCAACCACTGACATGTTGGCCACTCCTCTACAGGGGTGCCCCTGCCAGCCCTAGAGCAGGTCCTATCGCTGCCCACAGGACCAGGTTGCCTTCAGGGGTACAAGACTGCATAGGAAAGAGGGCTGGGGCTGAGAGCCCAGCTCAGTCTCTCCTCCTACCAAAGCAAAAACCATTCAGGTACAAACACATGTCCTCACATCCCGCTCTGCAAGGGAGCAGGTGGGCCCATGACTCAGAGAACTGGGTCAAAATCTGAGCTGTGGACCCCCAGGCCCAGCCAGGTGCTGCCCCTGAAAAAGGGCAGCCCCTCCCTCTAGCCCCTATGGTCTGAGACGCCCTTGGGCTCCGACATGGTGGCAAATAGTCCTGGGAGCCCCGCCAGCCTGGCCCCAGCCACCCAGGTGGCAGCTACCCATCCTCCTCTGTGAACACAGGAGGGACCGACAGCAATTCCATGGTCTCTCTCACCCTGTGATGGAAAACAGGCATGCCCTGTGATTTCACGCCTGCCAGGGCCCATGTTCCCAAAGAACAGTCCATGTGGTGAGGGAAGGGTTAAGTGCCAGCAGCAGCCAGGCATGGGGAGAGAGATAGGAGAGCCTGAGGACGGCACGATCGTGGCTGGCACTGCCCTGCCAGGTGGCTCCACCCTCAGGTCCACGTGGGCTACCTGGCCACTGTCCTAAGGAGCATGTAGCCCCTAGGGCAGCTGCTGCCACGTGCCCTGTGCAGCCCATGGAAGGCAGAGGGGCCACAAAGTGGGACTGGAGTCAGATCCCAAGACTTATTTTATTTCCTATTTATCTTTTCTTTCTTTTTTTTTTTTTAATATTTCCTATTTATTATACTATTTTCTTTGCTTTCTGTTTGTTTTGTGGATGTCCCCTCTCACTGAGCCCCAAACCCCTCTCCACCGCTGTGAGCCCCACCAGGGGCAGGTCTGAACACTGTCCTGCCAGTCTTGCATGACAGCAGAGGCTCCATGTTTGCTGAGTGAATCAATGACCCTCTGGATTGTGGTGTGACCCATAGGCCATCCTGATGATGTCTCATACCCTGGGAAGCTCTCTGAGGGCTGGGGCTGGGCTTCCCTGTGGGCAGCACAGGGCCCTCCCTCTTCTAGTTGGTGACGCATCAAGTAAACTCACGCTGGCTTGTGAAACCGTGGCTAGCAGAAGTGCCGTGGAGCCTCAGCTCAGGTGTCTGGGAGCTCCGGGAAGGAGGGCACTCCATGGCGGGACATTGTTACTACTCTAACACTGTGAACATAATCTCCCCACAGGCTGGCTGCTCCATGGGGCACTCACTGAATTCAGACGCACACAACAGTAGGTGTGGACAGGACTGCTCATCTCCAGATGGGTTTCCATTAAGCTTTTTTTTCTTTACAGTACTTCCTTTGATTTATTCCTGCACTCATCTTTAACTGGTTTCCACTGCGTTCTAACAATAATCCTGACTCTGACTTGGAAACAGATTTGACAAGGTCAGTGCAGAGTCACACGAGACTGTCCACACAAGTCTGGACATGGGACAAGCTGCTGGACTCCAGCCTAGCCAGTAGGCTCAGGGCACTGCTGTCCTCTGC